CGGCGAGACCGTTCGGGTATGGTCACGTGACATCCCAGATTTTGGGATATAGCGTAATTTGTCGTTAGGGTGGGTACGTGGGGAAGAGTTATTAACTGCAGTCATTTCTAAAAATAATAGAACTTGTCAATTTAGTTAATGACCGCATTTGGCAGTTTTCGAAGTTCTATATTTGAAATAAAACCAATTACACTACGAAAAAACGTTAGATAAGGATATGGTTCGCGGCATTTAGACCAGTGATTTATACTCTTGTCGTCGTCTGTTTCTTGCTAAATATATGTGATCACTGATCGCAGTGATATTATTAATACATTGTGATTTTTAAAAACCGTCCTTCGTATATATTAATATAGCACAGATCAAATGTATTTGTCAAAATAAAATAGATACATTTTAGTGTATTTGCTAATAAAGCTTATATATATATATATATATATATATATATATATATATATATATATATATATATATATATATATATATATATATATATATATATATATATATACGATTCAAAATATTTGTATGTTCGTTTTGTTATATTTGCTACATCGTGCCTCAAGAGAAGCGACGATATTTGCAATGGTTGTTGTAACACTATACGGTCGGTGTGTGTGATTTTTTTATCAGATTTAATCATAGTCTAGGTATGGGAGAACGGGGAGCGCTGTATGAATCGATTGAACATTTTGAATATAGGGTATTCATGTATAACTTGCGAGCTTATGGACATACATTTTCCGAAATTTTAGACTTGGGCCATTGCAAAAGCGAAATGATCTGCAATTTAAATTATGTCAGTGAAGCAATTAAACGGGGTTCCGGAAACCTTGATTTTAGTTCTTTGTTGTTCAAAGCACGAATATGGCCATTAACCTGCAAATTAGTGTTTAGCAGACAAAAGGGATTATATAAGACAAAGAAATCTAAGGCAAGAGCTTTATATTATGCAACCATTTGCAACAGGTCCTGTTGCTATCTGGGGACATCTCGACAAATCCTGGTCTCGTGAGTGTCAAATGTGATAATTGTATAAAAACTATTCGGAAAAATCAGAAAAGCGTGACTTGTAAGATTTGTTTTGGTCAACTGCATCTAAAATGCACGGAACTTAATACCAAATGTTTAATTTCCACTTGGACTTGCCCAAAATGTTTGTTTACTGCAAGGATGGGTTGTAGCGAAGTAGTTGTAGTTCGCTACTGTAGCGAACTACAATTTTCAAGTAGCCAGTAGTTTTTGACTATTTTTTTAAAACAGTAGTTGTAGTTATAGCGAACTACATTTTGCCTAAAAGTAGCCAAGTAGTTGACTACTTTTCAAACAGCGAATCGCTATTCGCTACTTTTTAAAATTGTTAGCAACTTGATAGAATAGCATGATATTGAGACACGGTTTGTTTAAAATCAATACTCAATAGTCATTTTGCACTCCTGAACACTGTAGTGCTTACAAAAATGTTGCTTTGGTTTACTGTTGCTACTCGTAAGTCGATTTGTTATAGATTACATTACTGCCTGAGTTAGTAGATGCTCCAAATATAGTAAAACTAAAAAATATAGTGTAGCGAAATAGTTCGCTACAATTTTTAAGCAGTAGCTGTAGTCAGTAGCGAACTACCTTTGTTCAAAAGTAGCAGTAGTTGTAGCTGACTACATATTTTTGAAGTAGCTGTAGTTATAGCGAACTACAAAAATTTTGTAGTCAACCCACCCTAGGTTTACTGTACTCCCTTTTAGTGACTGTCCAACTCTAGATATGTCGGATGTTGATGAAAATTTAAACGCGTCTTATGAGGACATTTCTGAATCTGTTGTAAATATCTTAAAGGAACATCCACGACATCTCAGTTTAATGCATTTAAATACCCAGAGTATGGTGTCCTCTTTCAACGAGTTCCAGGTCTATTTATCTCAGTATCCGATGGATGTTATCACTATGAGTGAAACCTGGCTCAAGGAAAATCCCGCACTTTTAGAATACGTTTCTTTGTCCGGTTACGGAGCCGCAGTGTTTCGAAACCGTGACAAGATCCGTGGGGGTGGTGTAGGAGCATATATTAGCAACTCGATCAAGTACAAGCGAAGGAAGGACATTGAGAATCTTCAATCAAATATGGAATAATTATGGTTTGAAGTGCCAGGACGAAACAAGCACAGTAAAGCATTGATCGGCGTGATCTATCGATCGGAGCGAATTCAAAGCTCTTCAGATTGGTTAGATAGTTTCAATGAGTCTTTGCTGGGTCATCTCACCGTATCGTGGGATGGCCTGCTTTTAGTTACTGGCGATATCAATATTGATTTATTGAAACCTAATGATCTTCTAAGCAAAAAGTATCAATCAATTCTGGAAATTTTTGGGCTTACTCAACATGTCGCAAAACCAACACGTGTCACGCAAAATTCAAAAATTTTAATTGATCATATTGTAACCAATGACCCGCATTATGTGGCAGCTACGGGAATAATTCCAGCTCCTACGATCAGCGACTACGATGCAGTTTTTGCCTGTGTAAATGTTCGTGTGCGCCGTTTTCAACCTAGATACAAATGGATACGGCTGGATAGGAAATTTGTAACCGAAGAATTTCTTCAAGACTCCGCTAACCTACCGTTTTCCGTAATATATGGATTAGAATCACCCGACGACATGGTAAATGCACTCAACACTTTGTTTAGTGAATCTATAGAGAGACACGCTCCATTAAAAAGAATCAAGTTAACACGCCCCCCTGCACCATGGATGAATGCAAATGAAATACGAAAACTACAGGCGGATCGGGACAGACTGCGCTTTGAAGCTCACAAAGCCAACAGTGATGATTCTTGGAAGGCCTTTCGAGAAGTTCGCAACAAGATAAAGTCTGTTATTAATAAAACAAAACGAAACTTTATTAAAACTGCTCTTTCTTCTAATAGACCAAAGGAGGTATGGAGAATGATACACCGTATTCTACACCCTAATAAGAAGCCTCTTCACGCAGATCTAGATAAACTCAATGACTATTTTATTAATACGAACGAAAGGACATTAGAAACCAAGCCAGCTGCACTATCAGATCTACTTGAATTCATTGATTCTCTTTCCGATGGTACAACGCCACAGCAATCATTCTCTTTACGACCCGTTTCGCATCGTGAGGTGTTGTGCGAAATTGACAAACTCCGCTCAGACACATCTACTGGCATTGATAATATACCGGTTAAGTTTGTAAAACTGGCGAGAAAACATCTGGCGGGTCCTTTACAATACATAATAAACAATTGTATTGCTAGGTCGGCCATTCCAGAAGCGTTGAAAATTGCAAGAATATCGCCCATCCCTAAAATAGATCAACCTTTGTGCGAGGCGGACTATAGACCTGTCTCAATTTTGCCGGCGCCATCAAAGGTATTTGAGCGGCTTAATTGTTTTAAATCAGATGATTGCGTATATTGAAGAAAGGGCGTTTCTTGGAGCTACGATATCTGGACTTCGAAAAGGGCATTCGACAACAACTGTGTCGCTGGGCCATATTCGAGACGCGTTGATTCGAGCATCAAAGAAAGGAGAGGTAACTCTAATGGTTTACGCAGACTATAGCAAAGCTTTTGATACTATACAGTTCAGGTCTGTTCTGACTAAAATGCATGGATTGGGTTTTTGAAAATCATTTCTGCACTGGATGATTAACTATCTTACAAATAGACAACAGTTGGTACAAATCCTGACTCTTCCACAGTCCCTAACACTGCTTAGAACGCAAAGGACCATGGGAATGCCCCGAGGCGTCGCCGTCGCATTCCCATCATTCAGCGCGCGTTGGGTAATTCAACGCGCGCGTTACTGAAGCGACTGGGAACGAGTCAGGTACAAATCAACGATAGTAAATCTAGTCTTCTTACCGTAGAATTTGGCGTACCACAAGGCTCAGTTCTTGGACCGGCAATTTTCAATCTATACGTCGCTGATTTACAGGAAAAGCTTCAACTACCTTGCTATCAATATGCGGACGATACATCGTTTTATACCCATTCAAAAGTATGCGATCTAGACTCGGCTGTAAAAGAAGTTAATGATGCTATAGTGCGATTGGTCGATTATTCTCAATGCTCTAATTTAGGACTGAATTACTCCAAAACTGACTGGATGCTAGTTTCCACACCTCAGATGGCACGTGCTCATGATCTGGGTGACCGTACGTTTAGTATTAAATGCGGGACAAATTCCTTGAACGAATAAAATGTAAAAATTTTCTAGGAATTTATTTTAACGAGCATCTTTCATGGTCCTCACATGTCGACTATTTGCTAACTTCTTGTTATGGAATACTAGCAGTGTTGAAAAAGATGAAGAATTTGACGCCTTTCTATGTGAGAAAAACACTGGTTGAAAGCCTTGTGCTTTCCAAAATTGACTATGCTAGTCCTGTACTCCACCCATTGCCAATATACCAACAAAAACGACTTCAACGCCTCCAAAATGCATGCGCGGGTTTTGTGTTAAGGAGATTTGCAAGACAGGAAGAACTTGCCACCTTGAACTGGCTAGACATTAGTAAAAGAATGGATTTTAACATTTTAAAATTAGCATATAAAGCTTTACATGACGATTCTTTTGCAGAATATTTAAGATTATCGCTACATTGCGTTAATGTATATAGTCTAAGATCATCTTCTGCACCTGTCCTGGATATTCCCAAGGAGTCAGGAACATTTCAAGACTCAGCAGCCTCCATTTTTAATAAGCTTCCGGCATAAATCAGGAATATTAACAATTATAGAACTTTCTGTCGTTGTATAAAAAAACATCTCAAAAACAGTGAATGATTCCGATTTGCATTGCAATTGGATTATTTGTCTTTTTTAACTTTTGTAGTTCTTGTATGATAATAGATTACTGTATATTTAGTATAATGTAGATAATTTTACAGG